GGCCAGTGGCCCTCAAGAGCCCGCAGGTGGCGGGCGAGGCGGCCTCCGCAGCCCTGCTGCAGACGATGCACTTCGTCAAGTACCTGCCCTGCTTCCAGGTGCTGCCCCTGGACCAGCAGCTGGTGCTGGTGCGCGGCTGCTGGGCGCCTCTGTTCCTGCTGGAGCTGGCCCAGGACCACGTGCACTTCGAGACGGTGGAGATGGCTGAACCGAGCCTGCTGCAGCGGATCCTCACCAGCAGGCGGCGGGAGCCCGAGCGCCCGGCGTTGCTGGAGCCACTGCCAGCGGCCCAGCAGCCTCCATCGTCCGCCGACGTCCAAGTCATCAATGGCTTCCTGGCCAAGTGCTGGAGCCTGGATATCAGTGCCAAGGAGTACGCTTACCTCAAGGGGATCGTGCTGTTTAACCCTGGTAAGGGCGCACTGGCTGCTCAGGACCAGGAACGGTGCTTTGGCGGGCGCGCAGACACTAGGCAGTTCCCGGTGGCTGGGCTGGTCAGTGTCAGGGCAGGAATGTGCTGAGTTGGGGGGCCTTCGGAACCACTCTTTGTGAGCAGAGACAAGGGGGAGGGGGGCCGCCGTACTTAGGTCTCTGACCTGGTCACAAGAGAAAAGTTGGTGCCTCTGAAGGGCAAGGGGATACCCTCTCTGGTTTTCTTTGACATGCAGACAAGAGCTTTACACAAACTTTTGGTCCCTGCAAGTGGCTGCAAACATTCTCCAGATGCTCTCCCAGGATTCCTTGGCACTGCCTGGGGGATGGGGCAAGACAGCTCCACAGGTCACAAGCCTTATACTGTAGAGTAAGGTCTCAGGATTTCGCTCCCTAATCTGTAAAATGAGGTTAATGAGGGCTTTCCTGTGACTTCAAGCTCTAAAAGAAAGAGCAGTTACTCATGCTCTTTCTTGGTCCTTGGCTTTCCTGGCACTGACCGATTTGAGGGGATGGAATCATCTGGATGCTTTGGAGCCTAACAATGACAATTCAAAGGCAGACTGGCGAAACAATACGCCCAGTATCCTGTCTGACAGGATCTCTGGAGAGATGATCTCTCTATGGGCCCTTTAAGGAAAACTTCCTCTCTTGGGAGTCTGGATACTTTTCCTCCAACAGAGAGGTTTTAACAAGTATCTGAACTGCATTTCAGAGAGATGCCTTTGCAGCCACTTGAAGGGAACAAAAGTTTGGGTAAAGCTCTTCGTCTGCATGTCAAAGAAAACTTAGCTGTACATCATCTTTCTTCTATTCCATTCCATGTTACCCTGATGTCACATAGTAAAATGTGCAAGTCCTGGGCCTGTACCTTCCAAGAGGAAAGTTATTTTTGAACCAGGCTCCAATCAGATGATGGTTTCTGATTTATTTTCCAAGGTTACAATGGCTGAAGGGTAATACTTCCAAAGTCCTCTTAAAGTATTTGAAAAGAGCCCTTTGGAATGCTCATTCTGATCACTTTTTTTCTTAAACTTTCCTTAGTAATGCAAGCGTGGTGTGGTGAGCCCTTCTAGAAACTTGGAATTGACTTAGCATTGTCTCCTGGTTCTAGAAAACCCGGGATAAACATCAGGGAGTGTGAACTCTTATTTAAGGTTAGCTTTTTGTAACCAAAGGATATTTTCTCCCCTCTTTTCTCCTCCAGACCTGCCGGGCCTGCGTTGTGTGAAGTATGTCCAGGGTCTTCAGTGGGGAACTCAGCAGATACTCAGCGAATACATCACATCGACCCACCGAGTGCCCCAGGCCAGAAGCATGGCACTGAACTGTGCCCTTTCCCTGCTGAGATTCATCAGTGCCGATGTCATTGCTGAACTGTTCTTCCGGCGCATCATTGGCACAGTGAGCATGGATGATATGATGCTAGAGATGCTCTGTGGCCAATTATGAACAGGTGTGAACCACACTGGCCAGTTATGAAGGCATGTGAACCACACTCTGTGGCCAGCTATGCAGACTTGTAAGCCACACTCTGGTCCCAGCTATGACGGTGTATAAACCACACAAGTGCAGCTCACCATGCAGGATGAGGCGCTGTGGGAAAGCGAGTATAAAATAGTGTACAATAAATTTTCTTAGTCTTTTTACATGCATAGTATTTTTGCATTTGATTAAAATAATAAAAGCTTTAATCACGCATTACAAATGTGTCTGTGTCATACTGTTTTGTTCTGAAGGAAAATACTTGCGAATAGGGCCACAACCAAGGTACCTGTCTACAGAAAGAGCAGAATAAGCTATTTTTACAAGCTCGTTGACTCTCAGAAGGTCCCAGGGTGACAATTTGCTCTCAGCTACTAAGTGAAAGATTGGTCATTTGAACCAACCCAGCGGTGCCATGGAGGAAAGTCTTGCTAATTTGCTTCTGTACAGATGACAGTCAGGGAAACTGGAGCAGATGGAGGCTTCTAGAACAGATGGAGGCTCCATGAGTCAGAATGTATGTCATAGCAAAGGTTTTACTGTTTGTCTAATTTTGACACACACCCCCCCATTAAACCAGCGACCATCAACTTTGTAACACTAACCTACAGTGGATTTTAATGTGTTAACCATTGTATTAAAAAGAATTGTGCCAGGACTTGAGTCAGCTCACTGCCATTGAGTCCATTCAGACTCCTACCAATCCTAGAGAACAGACTAGAACTGTTTCTGGGAGGTTCAGAGACTGTCACCCTCTTACAGGAGTAGAAAACCTTTGTCTCCCGAGGAGTGGCTGGGGGTTTCCAACTGCTGACCTTGTGGTTTGCAGCCCCACACATAGCCACTACAGCACCAGGGCTCCTTATCAAGGTTTCAGTAAGGCTTTACAAATTATTAGTAACCTGGCATCAAAAAACAATAACAACTGAAGTTATCTCTGTAGGTAGCATTGTGACATTTGATCTTTTCATAGACCACTGTGCGGGGCTGGTGGAAGACTTTGCTCTGTCTTCATTCCCATTTCCCTTATTGTGTGGAAGAAAATATCTGTACCCAAATGGTGCCACGTGACCATCAAAGTCTAAAGACAACTGTCACGGAAGTAGGAGATGTTGCAGAGTTTTGTATTGGGTGCTTTTTTTTATGTACACAGTTAAGGATTTGAAATAGAGGAAACTCAGCCAACATTCTATAAACCAAGCCAATTCCCACTCATGGTGCTCTCCTGGTGTCAGTAGAGCTCTGCCTTAGGAGGTTTTCCATGGATGAGTAAAAGGGGATCAAGCATCTTTTTCAAGGTGCCTCTCAGTGGATTCGACCCTTGAACTTTTGGATTAGTGGCTAAGTACATTGACTGTTTGCACCATCTAAGGGCCCCTCCATTCTTTTTTTTTTTAAATCATTTTATTGGGGACTTGTACAACTCATCACAGTCCATACATCCTTCTATTGTGTCAAGCACATGTGTACATTTGTTGCCATCGTGGGCTCCTCCATTCTTTATGGTGGGTTTATAGTCCTAGAACACTCAGTATTATTCTAAACCCTTAATTTTTATAGCCCATCTTCAGAATGCATTCTATATGTAGCTTTCACATTGAACACGTATGGCATGACATCGACATCATGAAACACTATAATGATTGGCTCCTGCTGGCCCTTTAAATGTAATCTGTAGAACTATTGTTAGGTGCCAGCAAGGCCGTTCTGACTCATAGCGACCCCGGGTGCACAGAAGGAAACACTGCCAGGCCCACGTCATCCTTACAGTTGTTCTTGTTGGAGCCCATTGCTGCAGCCACTGCTTCAGTCCATCTGATCGCGGGCCTTCATTTCCTTTTCCTTTCTGCCCTTCTCATTTACCAAGCATGATGCCCTTCTCTAAGGACTGGCTTCTCTTGGCGACATGTCCGAAGTATGAGATGAAGTCTCACCATTCTTGCCTCTAAGGAGCGTTCCAGGTGTACTTCTTCTAAGGCAGAGTTGTTTGTTCTTTTGGTAGTTGTAGTCGCTTCAGGGTAATCCATCTAATCCAGTGCAGATTGCAGGGGTTCTGAGACCTTTGTGTGTGTGGATCTCTTTGTCAGTTGGGTGCGTCCCCTGGACATCTCAGAATCAAGTTCTCAGAATCATTTTGAAACTAGGCTACTTAGGTTTGTGGAGGAAAGTAATTCAGTTGAAGTATGGTATTTAAAATGTCAAATATTTAGACATACTTAAAATGTGGTATGGAAGTAAGTGTTCTTTTATTGAGGTATAAAATCACAAAAATATCTTGTGGTTGGTCTCACATCTGCCATAATTCCAGAGCAGTGAGAACTACGATTTAAATTCCAGCTTACTACTCCATCTATAATGTGATCCGAAGGTGGCAGAGATTTGCATTGGTGACTGTGGAGTTTCCCATCATCACCACCACCACGTTCACAGGTTTGCTGGAAGGTCTGGCAGGTCCCATCACATAGCTGTACTCACAGCTTAGGTTTATTCGAGTGACATAGTAAGGGCATGCAGCTGGGTCATAAGCAGGGAAAGGAATAGGTAGAGTCAAGAGGAATCTAGGCACTCACCCACTAGCCTCAAGTTGATTTCGACTCATAGCAATCCACTAGGACAAAATAATACTGCCCCTTACTGTTTCTGACACTAAATCTTTAGGGGGGCAGCCAGACTCATCTTTCTCTCGAGAGTCTGTGCTGCCCACTTTGCAGTTCACAGCTGAATGCCTAACCCACTGCCCCACCATGATTCTGTAAACTCAGAAGATTACCGAACAAAGCAACTCACTGTGGAGTGGATTCTGACTCAGAGCAAGTCTTCAGGGTTTTTGAGACTGTAAGTCCTTAGAGGAGCAAAATGTCTCATTTTTCTCCAACGGTTGGTGGATTTGAACGGACAACCTCGTGGTTAGCAGCCCAGTGTGTAACCCACTTTGCCACCAGAGAACCCTCTAGGGACATTCACCAAACTAAACACATTGGCCATCGACTCACAGAACTGAACCTGTGGGTTTCTGAGACTGAACAATTCTCTAAGGAAGCAGAAAGCCCATCTTTATTCCAGGGAGGCACTGGTGATTTTGAATTGTTGATCTCGCGATTAATAGCCCAATGTATAACTCATCACGCCACCAAGGCTTCTTTAGTATATGTGCTGCTGAAGCGAGCACTGCCAAGGCTTCTTATATTCTCTCCCCCTTATGATTTTTCCCACAGATAATGTTCTTCCCCCAACAATGAAATTACAGAAACATGGGGTTTGATGTGCTTGCCGGGTGTGACTCAAGAGGTTAGGGTTTTTACCAGAGGCTGGTCACCTAGGCACCGTTAGTGTAGCATGCACCCAAATTCCAGACCCCCAGCTGGAGAGCAGGAGCTTAGTAGAATCCTCATGTGCACAATTGGTCCACAGTGAGTCAAAGTTATTCGGTAGGGAGGAATGGGAACATGCTCACTCCCCAAGTCCCCTGATCTAAGCTAAGGACCATCCTTGCAAGCTTTTCTGAGCAAAGCCATCACCGACCTACTCTATCAGCTCTGTTGTGCACATACCACCACCTTTGCCCTAGGCCAAGGCCTTTTATGCAGCAGACATTTTATCAGCAGGAACCTACACAACAGGGTGACACAAGCCTGCAACATTTCAACTTTGTTATACACTTTAGAGGACCTAGACTTGTCAATTCAAACAAATCCTAATGACCATAGAGATCTGTCTTAGGAAGCCCCCTGGCTTTCTCGTTAAGTTTCTCTATGAACCTTTTTAATCGGGTCTAAGACAATAAGTCAGGCCCAACCCAAGCCTGGCCAATAAGTCGAAGCTGATCCGGGCATCCTCCAGAGTGGAGGCCGAGCCTGGATGTTATTGCTGCTGCTTTCAAGTCTATTCCAAATCACCGTAACCACCTGGGTGTGGCCAGCTGCTTCACAGGTGTTCCGGGCTGTGTGGCCTTTGCGAAGCAGATCATCATGCATGTCATCTGAGTTGTCTTCAGGTGGGTTTGAATCGCCAACCTTAGGGCATACTCACAGGAAGTACAATCCCAAAGGGGACACGTGCCTTCTCTCTCTGGAAACAGAATTTTATCACGTTAGGATCTTGCACCAAGCACAAATATTACGCAGGCCAGCAGCTTAACAAGGCTGTCAACATGGCGGCCTCTCCTATGGTGCTGTCCACGGCCTTATCTGCCCTAGAGCAGATGCTTCAGCCCAGATACTCAGCCGAGTCCCTGGCATTAGAAGGACGGTCTAAGACCTTCAGTTGCTGTTGGGTTTGTTATCTATGACCTAGGTTCATCCACCTCCAGATAGTGTTTTGTGGGGAATGTGCTGCAGCTGGGGCACCTCATGTTGTCCCATCTTCAGCGCTGCTGCCTGCTTTGATTCAGCTCAGCAGTCAGTTTGAATGCAAGCTTAGCCCATTGGAAAAGCAGCAAGAGGAGTTGTTCTTTAAGAAGAGGGGAAAGCTTCCTGGACTATTCTGAAAAATGTTCTCCCCCACCTTATGGCCTCCCCAGTTTCCCCAGGGGACTGCTGTTGTTTCCCCATTGTTAAAAAATCAGTGGGGTCCCATTTAATAGTCGTACCTCGAGATTTTTCCCTATTCTTGTCTTTTCGTACCCAGACCTTGTTTCTGTGAAGATCCCATGCAAGAAAAACACTTGTCTAGAACTTAATCAGGAATGCGCTCGGTGGAGTGGGTTGAGCATTGGGCTGCTAACGGCCAGGTTAGCAGTATTGACACCACCAGGCGCTCCAAGAGAGAAAGATGAGGCTTTCTTCTGGTGTAAAGGTCTACAGCCCCGAAACCCATCGAGGTTGTTCTTACCCTGTCTTACAGGGTTGCTCTAACCAGAAAGACAGGGTCATACCCAGGAATTGGTCAAGGCAAAATACAGATTTTTGAAGCTATTTAGTTCTTGGTTGATTTATTTTTCAAAATTGATTTACACAAATCTCTCCCTTTTCACTGGATCATTGATTCAGCGGAGTCTGTTGTTTTGTTGTGAGGTGCCATCGAGTTGATTCCACCTCTTTGTGACCCCCGTGTCAGAGTAGAAGCCGCATAGGGTTTTTGCCCTAGGTGGTCTACTCCCATGAAGAGTTCATCTTGGAAACTCACAAGAAAAGTTCTACCCTATCCTATCCAGTCGCTAGAAGTTGGCATTGACTCGAGGGCCATGAGTTAGCTTTTGGCTTTAGTCATCTTTATGTAAGCCAATTGCCAGGTATTCTTCCTTGAAAGCCACTGAGTGGAGTCAAACTGGCAACTTTTCAGTTCATAGGCTAGCACAGCTCAATCCCCTTTCCTGGGGACAATGGCATTTAGTAAACAAACTGCCTTGGTGTGCTAGTCACATCATTTCATGTCAGCTTGATATATAAAAGTGTAGAGGTGTAGTCTAGCCTATCAATCAGGTCACAGGCTGATGATAACTCCTTGTGGGCATGGCCTTCTCATAAGGAGGGTCCTGGGTACCTCCCCCTCTCTGCCTTCTGTGCCTTCACCTTCATGGCGAGCCCACGCTGGGACCTGCCAGAGTCCTGGAAGTGCGTCCACCACCCTTGGATCCTCAAGGCTTTGCACCCACTGGCCTGTGATCTTCCTGCATTCTGCTTCATAGCATGTGGCCACGTGAGTCTGGAGAGGGACTTATGGACTAGCAGACTTTAGTTGGACTGGGCTGGGATGGTTTATTGATGCATATTGGCTTCTTGATGTAAAGCTCTTTCTTACACATATATGCATGCCACTGGATCTGTTTCTCTAGTCAACCCGGCCTAACACACTTGGTTAGGTACAAAGAGTCTTTATAAAGTTCCTGGGAATCCAGGAACAGGAATGGGGGAAGAGATACCAGGAGGAGAGTGGGAAAGAAGGGGAGGAAAGACGGGGTCAGGAGGGGAGGAAAAGGGAACCGATCCCGATGATTGACACATAACTGCACTGCCCCCCTGGGGGGGGGTGGGGACGAGCAACAGAAACCATGGTCGGTGTAAGATATGAAAATAATAATCATTTATAATTTGTGAAGGGGCCACGAGGGTGGAGAGGGGGAGGGGAGGAAAAAAGAGGAGCTGACACCAAGGGCTCAATAGAAAGTACATTGTCTAGAAAATACAAATGTGCTTGATAGAATTGATGTATGGATTGTCACAAGAGCTGTGAGAGCTCTCAATAAAATGTTTTTTTAAAAAAAGCTTTATGGGAAAATCGACTTAAAGATCACGGCATTTCCCCCTGACCTTTTTGAAGCCTCCTGGTTTGTGGGGGGAAAGTAGAATCAGGCTAACAGCCCATTGCCCCAAACTGTAACAACTCTAGAAAGTCATGGATAATTAGCAGTGGGACATCTTTGAAAGGCAGTGGAGCTTGCCATCTGTTAAGGTGGGCAGAGGGGCCTCAGGCAGTGTGGGTGCCCTCCTCCATTATGCAGCTTTCCATGGAAATTGCAAGCTAGGAAGGCAGTTTTTCTTGGCATCCAAAATAGAGCTGCTCAGAGGCCAGTGGAGAACAAGCCCGTTTCTGAGAGCATCTGCCAGGACCTAGATTGCACAGGCATCGTGCATGGGGGCCTCCAAGGCAGGGTATCCTCACCTACAATAGTTTCAGAACTCCAGTTCTGTTCATTGAGCGTCTGCCTGCTTTCTGTCTGCCAGACTGAAGTTGAAACAGCCCAAGGCGGATAGTATCGGGTTTCCATTTAGCATCTGGTGGGGCCAGGAGGGTCTGTGAACACGCATTTCTGGAGGGGAAAAAAGTCAGCAGCTTATCTTTATCAACAGCATCCATGCACAGCAAGGCCAGGCAGACTGTGGGAAGGCCAAGCCCCGCTCCCTTTTTTTTTCAACCTTGTTTCTTTTAGTGTTCAAACGGATGCACTCAGATATGAGCACATTAGCAAACAGAAAGCTGCTTTTGAAAAGTCCAGAAGTGGTTCTCCATTGGCAGGTCCTGTTCCCTTTCTCAGAGGTCCCAATAAGGCAGCCAACCCTCCCAGGCCCAAAGCAGTCTTTATGGATACTTGTTCTGTTTCCAATCCGCTTCATCCCCTCCCCACCCCCTCCACCCCAACTTGCTCTGACTGGGACCATCCTTCTAGAATTTGTGAAATTACAAATATTAAACATCCTGTATCATTTGTAATCATACACCCAGAGGCCACAGTCATCAAATACAAGGTCCTTGTTGAAATCCTGGCCGCCCTTCTTTTCCTCTCAGTGTGATGCCACGCACAGCCTTCCTCACACTGCTAGCAGTCAAGCCACCTTTTACAGGGCCCACCTCAGGGCTGCCAAGCAAACTCTGCTGGAATGCAGGGAAGTGGGGGGAGGGGGGAGTGGAGGCCTTCTGCAACAGCTTGAAAGTGTTTGTGAGCTTGCTCCCCTCTCCTCCCCTGTGCTTTCTCCCTCCTGTTTATCTTAAGGAGCCCTGGTGGCATAGTGGTGACTCACTGGACTTTGGTCCTGGAAGTCCATAGTGGGAAAGCACCAGAGGCTCTGTGGGAGGGCTCTCAGAAGCACCCAAGGGCAGTTCTGCCCTGTCTTACCTGGAGGCTCACTTTGCATCAGCATGCACAGGATGGCAGTTGAGATTCGATTGATCGGAAGTCCTGCACCAGCCAAGGGAATCCAGTTTGTCCCCTTCCTACTCAGAGGAAAGCGCAATTTGAAAACTACTTGTTGCCAGGTTCGGTACATGGAAAAGTCCTTCTTGGAAATGGTTGGGGCCCATGTCCTCCTGCCTGGAGGAGACAACTAAAACCCAGAGCCTCACCCGGGCTGTGCTTTTGTTCTCTCTATTTGGCCAGCACAAAGCCTGCTGGTGGCAGAGGGTTAGGTGCTGGGTTGCTACGGGAAAGGTTGGTGGTTCAGACCAACCAGGGGAAGAAGCAACCGTCGCTTCTGTGAAGATGTACTACCTCGGAACCCCTCAGGGACAGTTCTATTCAGTGGCAGTGAGCTATGAAAGGCAGCACCGTTAAAAAGTTCCTAGAAGTACCAATGATTCCGTTATTCTGGATGGTTCTATCATTTTCAAATTCGATAGGTAAGTTGCATCTCTCCAGACAGCTAGCCATTCAGCTGCTGTTCCATGCAGTGGGTGAGTCCCCAACAGTGCTTTATTTTTCTCCGCCCTCTCTTATCTTTTCCCTGAATAATGTTGAAGCAATGTTGGAAATGTCTGTCGGCTTGTTGTACTTGATTTAAAATAGCAGCTGGGTGTCCTGGACAGGTTTTGCCAGAGGTTTCAGACTAGGTAGACTAGGAAGAAAGACCTGGTGATCGGTTTGTGAAAATTAGCTAAAGGAAAAGCTTATGGATCCCAACAGATTATTCTCTGACATAGGCCAGGAAGATGTGGCCCCTAGGTTGAAAGGCACTTACACTCCATAGTAGCCAGCACGGTGGACTTCAGCATATCAACCATAATGAAGATGACACGGGACCAGGCATCATTTCATTTGTCTCTGTTTACATAGGCTCGCCATGAGTCACTGTCCAGTAGCTGGCCATTAACAAGTTAGGACAAAGTTATGTCAATGAGTTTGACTCATTCTAGCCAACTTCACCCCTGCCACCTCTGGGTCCCCAAACCGAACCATACTCACTGCCATTGAGTTGATTCCGACTCATTATGGCCCTATAGGACAGGGTAGAAGTGCCTCATAGAGTTCTGAGATTGGAAGTCTTCATGGGAATAAGAGCCCCATCTTTGGTCTATGGTGTGGTTGCTGGTTTTGAACTGCTGACGCTGTGATTAGCAGCCCAACTCACAACTACAACACCACCAGGGCACCTTAATAAGAATATAGTTAGAGAATGGAAAATGATACAGATGGGGTCTGGAGGAATGCGTGTGCGTCTCTGTTATGCTGTCTCCCTCCCCTAAGAGGTCACAAAGAAGGCACTCTCTCCCCAGTATCAGAATGCAACTCCGTGTGAACAATGTTTCTTTCCAAGGAAGCCCAGGAGATAATCAGTGCCCTAGTTAGTTTGTTTGTTGTTGTTTTTACATTTTTAGAAATTATTCATTTTATTGGGGGCTCCTACAGATCTTATAACAATCCATAATTCAATTGTATCAAGCACAGTTGTACATATGTTGCCATCATCGTTTTTACTGACACCTAATCCACCTATCATACAATTCAATAGTTCAACCATATCAAGAAGAATTGTACAACCATTACCACAATCAATTTTAGAACCCACCCCAACCCCATGGTGAAATCGCCTTTAAAATGAGTTGTGTAATCACAATCAGTTC